TAATCTTACGTTTGGACGCTACTTGGGCATCTCAAAATACCCGGTTTGAATTATGCAAGACCCACAATTCGCTTCATACTTCCTCGAGGCGGCACACAGAACAATTTAGGGAGAAGCTGGGCACGCTCAAAATTTCCTCAAACTTCGAGATATGGAAAATAATGCTTTAAACTTATCTGCTAGGAGATATCGTCATTCAATTTTGGAATGTTCCGCCCGAAATATCATGAAAACAGATCGTCGGTTTTCATGAAGTAGATTCCAAGGTGAACAATTGAAATAAACCCTTGAACTCTGGGACAACAATTTCTGGATGCGGTGGTGGACCACGGGAGACGCCATGTTCGCCAGCACACTTAACGGGCACCGACAACAAAAAGAAAATGACGCTCCTTTAGGGGGACAGATTTCGATATCGCCACAACACATGTTGCCACGACGTGTTTACCCTTACCCCGATGGTCTTTTTTTCCGCGTCGCTTCTCAGGTCCGAGCGCAAAGCTCTACAAAACTTGCTCAAAGACTCCCAGGGAGTCTCCAAAAGAGATTCAGACAGCTCCTGGAACAAAAGGCGTTCCAAAAGATCAGTTCCCGAAGGGGCGCTGATATTATACATATTCATCGATGGCCTTCTAAGGCGGCCCCGCGATCGAACATGGCACCATGAGGGCCCAAAACCCCACACATTTCCAATACTACTCCTTGTAATGAAACTTCACCTCGTTTCGCGTCCTTGTTTCATTCTGTTCCCACTGACGGCCCTCTTCCAAACAAATCTTTTGGGAATCGTTTCTAGGTTGTGTCCTTCACTACTTCCTCTATTTCTTCATCGCCCTCTTCCTCCACCTCCGCCATTTTCATAGCTCACTCACTTGTGGACTGCATGCCGCTGCGATGTACTGTATGGCTTCTGAACGGAACTGTAGGAGCGCACGTAATGTCAATAGTTTTCTGCAAATTTGGTCGCGCTCCGCATTTGCGAGCACATTCGCTTTAATTATTCGTCAAACTTTGGCGGGCGCGATTGCCTGCACCAGTATCATTCCACTCGGCGTGATGAAATTGACGATGATTTGTATAGTGCGTATGTATGTCTTATGCCCCTTTCGTGTATCGGACCAAATCGTTCAACGAAAACACATTGGAAGACTGCCCGTTGCAAAATATAACGATCGTACATTCATTTTGATCTGACCTAATGTATCTGATCTCCGTGCTTGTTTGACTTTCTATTCGGTATGATCCGTTGAATTTGGAACGACACGGAGAATTAGCATGGCCCCTGTGCAAGCATGACACTTGCAAGTCGAAATGCTTGACCGCCCTGCGTGGCCAAATTGCAGACTTATCCATATGTCTCTCAGGGGGGATAATGCGGACGAATGGGAAAATGTAGAGATAACCGTGAACCCGTGTGAACTAATTGGAACATAATTTGGGTTTCAATGGTAGTTCATCTCGTGAGTCATCCGCACGCGAACACGGCGAAGGCAGTCCCCACAACGACGACAGAAAACATGTTTTTTGTTACGCGCGCTCGTGGATCATATTATAAGCGAAAATTGCAAGTATCACCTCACGTGTATACGAGCATATTGAAGCGCAGGGAGAGCGATGACAAGAAGAAGCCTAGACCTTCATTGTTATTAGTCTCGCTGCGGCATTGGCAAGCCTCTTGGGCCACTTGGGGCCTTCGAGCTTCTTGGGGTGTCCGGGTAGATGACAAGCCTTTTGGGGGCGTGTTATTGAGATGCTCGTGGGGTCGTCAGAATCGCAAGTGCCCCCTACGATTGCGATTCAATTTATTACGATGAGTTACCACTAATGCTGGTGCTGTTCTGCGTGTCTTCTTCCTGGGGCAAGAACGCACGCCGTTTCAAATTGACACGAGATGGGAATACATATATTGACATATTATAGACGCTTCGCGTAACCACTAACTAGGCTTGCTAAACCTCTCGTGACATTCAAGTGGTCAGTTCAAGTGAACTAGAACGAAGGTGCGCGTGCATCCGAGAACCACATGGGCGACGCAAGCAAACGGAGCCGTTTTCATCGAAATCTGCGCGAAAACTGCTCGGGCAGTTTGCGGGTGAACGTTCCTGTTTCCAATGTATTGTGTTGCGTGGCCGACACGCGCGAGCTGCCGCGTAAAGTCATTACGCCATGTCATGGGAGATCCGTTTTGTGTTCGTCGTTCACATGGTGAAACGAGCGTTTGTGCGGGAGGGCTCCCGAAGGAGAGCAAGAAGGGGTTGCGTCAGTGAAGTAGCAACTTATTGGCGGTTTTCACAAATAGATTAATTGATTTACACATGCACCGCTCGCTTCGTAATCCCACAAAAGATTAAACACGTACCATGAGAAACAACAGCTGCAGAGGAGGGACACGGAACCACGCGAGAAAGCCGGTGCGCATGTGGCGCGCACATCGGACTCAAGGAGAGGCACGCGGGAGCGAGGGGACGCGGCAAGGAACGCGGCAGGGAGGGCAGCGAGAGACCCGCCGCCGCGGCGGCCGCAGCCGCTGCCGCCGCCGCGGTCGCTGCCGCCGCCGTGGCCGGGAGCAAGAACCCCCCCTCTTTCTGCGACTGAACCCCACCCTTGGTGCCATGTGGCGGTCAACGAGGCTGCCTCGATTATAAATCCGCCGGCCCCGACCTCACCAGAGGAGGACCCTCGGCTGGCGCTTCCCTCCCATGCGGCGCGCCAGCGTGCGCGTGCTGGCAGCTGGGCTCCTCGGGCTCTGCCCTGCTATCCGCCGCGAGGCGCCGCTCGGCTTTGATCGATCCCTGCAGTGGAGGCCCGACCACAAGAAACCTTCCACAAGAAACCCAGCCCCGAGACCCCATGACGTCAATTGATTTTCTGGTGTGGGAACGTCACGCTCTCCATCGCAATCCATCGCAAAACCATCGAAACCCAAGAAACCCAGGGCACCCTGGAGGCAAGCAGGGTGTTTTTAGGCATGGGTCTCCACTGTACGCCGCCCTCGAGGTCCTGCCATTGCATTCTTTTTTTGTGTGTGCGTATGTGCAATAATCAAGTGTCTTCTCTCGGTCCCCAAGGTCCTCAGAGATCGATCCGGCTCGAAAGCTGCCGCGGAAAAATCTGGTCTGGGCTCTGCTCGTGATCTTGCACGCTGTGGCATCTTGTTTCGCGACGTCGGATGCAAGGGGCCGGGGCCTCCGGTCCGCAGGAGCCCCCGTGCCTGGCCAGGCCTGCAACCCTCCCGAACAAACACTTGATGTGAGCATCCAGTCCTGCCCACCC